GAGGGGGGGGGGCAATACACAGGGAGGGAGAGGGAATGGGAAAAACGGGGCAGCAGGGGGAATAATTGGGCATAAGTGAAAGGGGGGTGAGGGGAGGTGGAGGCAGTGTTAAACATCAGCTTACCCCAAAACGAGTGCCTTCTCCTCATTAACTATCTCTGAAGAAGCATGAACGTTGTCTTATCTCCAGGTTTCACGCATTTACATTTTTTAAACAAAGCGCTTACATTTTAGCAATTTTGCAAATAAATAGTTCAATCCATTCTCTCTCTCTTTTTAGCAAACCTTTTCAAATTGTGAATTGGGTGAAGGCACACAGAGTAAATTAATTTTCCATTCGGCAGTTCAGACACATTTTGTTTCTTCTCATTCCTCCTCCGCACCCCCCAATGTAACATCACTCATCCTGCTTCCTCCCTATGCTTTCTTCCAGAGTAACTGGTGCATTCAAACTGCTGGCTCTTCAGTTAGCAGTCCAGTGCTTAACCCACGGCACCACCAGGGCTTCTTAATGGGTCTATCGCTGGAAGCATTTGGCCTCAAATCCTCATGAACTGCTTAAGCTCAGAGCCCCAGTGAGCACACTCCGGTGAGGTACAGGCACCCCTAGTCTACTTCTGTGTGTCTCTTGGTGGGACCACCCCCTAACCCCCAGCACATGGGATGAGGTACAAGGTCTTTGTAGAGGCGGCTGGAACTGCTCACGGGGTAGCTGGATGTGCGCAGCTCCCTTAGGTCATGTTCAGTGACATCCCAGTGGCGACTTGGGAATGTTTACATGGTGGAAATTGGCAGATGATACAGATCAGAGCTTCCTATCTTTTTTTTTTTTTTTTTTGCAGGCTGGCTTACAACACACCACTTTTTGGGTAAATAAGCTTTGCCTGGACTCACGACATGTTCCTGCCCTGGGGTGAGCCTCTGCTGAGGGTCTTACTAACTAAAGAGTTAAGTCTGTTGGGGGTCCACCTTGGTCTTACTCTGCAAGGACTGGGAATGGGACACAGAGGGACATGAAGGTCAGAAGTCTCCACTGTGCTCTTCAGACCCTGAAAGGCTGGCTTGTGGTGGTCTCCTGGCCAATAGTGACCTCCAGAACAGCTGACAAGATAGCATCACACAACTGCTGGCCTGAGCACTCAGATAGGACTCAGGGATGAGCCCCCATCTCCTGCTGTGAACACAAGTAGCATGGTGGTTACAAATCTGGCTGCTAATCTCAAGGTCAGCAGTTCGAAACTACCAGCAGTTCTGTGGGAGAAAGATGAGGCTTTCTGCTCCCATAAAGATGTACAGCCTCAGAAACCCTATGCAGGGTCACTATGAGTCGGAATCGACTCCACGGCACACCACCACCACCAGTGCAAAAGGATGCTGGGAAATGCCCTCAGGGTCAGCAGTGACATCCATGAGTCCCTTAGCAGGGCATCGCTGGCTGACTTGTCCAGCATGTGGCCACAGACAAGGAGCCGGCATGGAAGTGGGGGCAGTGATGAGATGGAGGGACTCAGGGCTGAGGACAGACTGTCTGTCATAGGGCCTCCCATGGCAGAGATGGGAGGAGTAGGCACACTGGGCGGAAGGCAGAGATGTTGCTTCACCTTTCCATGGGATATGTGTGGCAGGAAGTATGGGGTGTCCAGCGTGTGGACAGGACGTGTAGTAGGGGCAGAGTGGGGTCAATGTGCAGGCTGACAGTTAAGATATCTGACTTCACTCTTGAGGCAAATGGGAGCCATCGATTGTCAGCAGCGGCAGGGTATGGAGAGGAGTACCTTTAGAAGCATGGCTTGGTGGAGTTTGAAAGGAGGGGAGACGAGGACCGAGCTCACATACAGGGTGGCAGACATGGCGGTCATGTGGGGCCACTCCTCTTTGGTTGGGAAGCCAGAAGGGTGACAGGAAGAATCCCCAGGACACAAAGAGTAACATCCACCCAGGGCAGAGTCAATGTTCTTGTCGCCACCGAGATGCCACAACCCGAAGCCATTGTGTTGGAGTTGGTTTTGACTCATGGCTACCCCGGGTGTTACGGAGCAGTACTGAGCTCTACTCGGTTGTTGGCCACTGTTACCGAAGCAGAATACCAGGCCATCCTTCCACAGCATCAGGTGGATTTGAGCCACCAGCCTTTAGATTACTTATTGAGCGCCAAGAGCTCACACTACCCAGGGCCCTCACTGGAACATCAAAGAAGGTTAAACTTTTATATATTGTGCATGAAGGATGAAAGCTGGGCAGCAGTTTAGGAGAATTTACAGCAAAAACAACAGAAACAGTAACACTTTTGTATGCCTGTTGCTAAGTTGGTTCCAACTCATAGCACACCAGTATAGGGTTTTCAAGGAGCAACTGGTGGGTTTGAACTGCTGATTTTGCGGTTAGCAGTCCATGCTGATCCTACAGAAAACCAGCACACTGCTGGTCCAAACTCTGTGTCCTCACCCCTGAGCGTGGTTCACAAAGCTGAGGTGGGATATTAAACCTGCACCAGAAGTCGTTTGGGGTGTCAGGGGCAGGAAATGAGTTTCCCTGGTACAGGGAAGTGCTCATTCCTCTGAGCCCCTTTCTCAACCCTCGTGGGAAAAGGGCAATTGTAACTTACCAGGGCTTCTAGGGGAATGACCGAACTTCTTCAGAAGGTGGGGCACACCCATGACCTAGAAGAGAGAATTTAGGAACACTGAAGGCGAACTTTAACTTCTGCTTCTTTCTCCAGGTTCTGAACCAATCAGATCAACTGTCTTCTGTTCTCTGGCAAGATCTGAATTCTCCTTCAAGGAGGGAATGGTGAAACATTGCGTCATGTACTTTGGACATGTGATCAGGAGAGCCCAGTCCCTGGAGACAGACATGATGCTTGGTAAAGTGGAGGGTCAGTGAAAAAGAGGACGACCTCCAATGAGATGGACTGGCACAGCAGCTGTAAAATGAGCTCACATAGAATTACAGCTGTGAGGATGGCGTAGGACCGAGCCGTGTTTTGTTCTATTGTGCCCAGGGTCACTGTAACTCAGCACCTAACAACGCCAGCAACAAGTACATTAAAAGGAGCCCTGGTGGCACAGTGGGTTAAGTACTAATAATGTTGGTGGTTTGAACCCACTATCTGCTCTGTGGGAGAAAGATAAGGCAGTCTGCCCCCTTAAAGACTTCACAGTTTCCGAAGCCCTACACAGCAGTTCTACTCTGTCCTATGGTGACCCCATGAATCAGAATAGACTGGACGGTCATGGGTTTGGTTTGGGTTTAAACCATATTAAAATGCAGTTTATCAAAACAATGAGCATCAAAGACCTGCCGAGAAAGACAGAGTCACTGTTTTTGGAGAACTGCCCACTTTGGGGGTTTGATGGAAGAAGCCCAGACCTCATCTCCAAAGACCTGGCCACTGTGTGACACTCACAACTTCTTTGCCCTCTCTGAGCCTCAGGCTCCTGTGCGGAGGTCAGTGATCCCTTCACAGGGATGCTGGGAGAGTCATCGGTACTGGTGGCTTTGCTTTTCTTCCCTCACACAGTGTGAGCCGAGAAACTCATTTTCTTGCCAATAAAGACTGATTAAATAAGAGAAGGACTGAAATTCTCATTGTGTGTTTTACCTTTTCCAGGGTGAAGAGAGACAAAACATGTTAGGGATGCTCTCTAACATCTGGCTTCCTGGCATTTTGCCACCTGGTTTGGGGGCCCGCTATGGCCCAGTGGTGGGGAATGCCAGGGTCAGGCAGCTTGGGCTGAGATCCTTTGGTCACTTAAGATCTGCATGATTCTTACCAAGCCCATTGACTCCCCTAGCTTTCAGGAAGGGCCTGGGACACATCTCGGTTCCTTCTGGGGTGACTGGGGACAGTACCCCCTGTTCATACTAAAGGAGCCCTGGTGGCTTTGTAGGATAAGCACTGGGCAGCCACAAGGTTGTGGTTCAAAACTCCCAGCCACTTCTTGGGGGAAAGATGAGGCTGTCTGCTCCTGTAGAGTTACAGTTTCAGCACCTTAGACAGGGTTGCTGTGAGTCAGAATTGACTTGCTGACATTATGTTTGGGTTTTGAGTCCTACCTAATCTCAGGAGATGGCAATGGTGTCCCCTGTGGGGCACTCAATCTGTTGATAACCTGCCACCTTCCTGCTGTGCAGGCTGTCTCAGTTGGGTTGTCTCCAGGCCATGCTGGACAGGGAGGGTCAGACGGGTCTGGGAATGGGTGTGTTGAACAGAGGGGTCGATGGTTCTGCCCCTTGTCCCTACACAGCATGACATTTAGCTCCCGTTCAGCCAGGGTTCCCTGTGGGACTCTAATTGATGTCAACTCTGTCTGGCTTTCCTCTCTGCCTGCCCCACGCCCACATACAGTGATGTTTAGTCTGGGACATCCCCAAAATCACCTCTGTAGGACCTCCCTGTGAGGGACCTGACTGAGCTGCCAAGTTCCAAAGCCTGTGCATCTTAGTGCCACCGTGCCAGGGGCTGCCCGTGCCCACAAACTTGTCATTCTTTGGCAGAGTAGCGTTTGTATTTGCTCTTTGTCCAGCCTCTCAAACTTGGATGGAGTAACACCCACCTTGACCTCACTCGAAAGGTCTGGGATCAGACCCTCGGGGCTCTGACCTTTTCTCCCAGTGAGTCGAGGAAGGAATATCTGCAGGGCAAAGAAGGAGAAAACTTAGATGGCCATTCTCTTAAAATATACTAACCCATCCCTCCACTCCAGGACCCTGGGGTGGGTTGCCAGTTTAGCAATGAAAACACAGAACACCCAGTTACATTTGGGTTCCAGATACAGAACGAATGTATTTTTTTTTCAAGAAGGAGAAAACATTGTACCAAATGTTGCATGGGATATATTTATACTAGAAAATTCTCCTTTGAGTAACTGAAATTCAGATCCAACTGGTGCTCTGAGGTTTTTTGACTAACCCTTATCAGGAGGGTCCAGTCCCTGGAGGACATCTTGGTTGGTAAAGTAGAGGGTCAGTGACAAAGAGGAAGACCCCCAATGAGATGAACTGGCATAGTGACAGCAGCAGTGGGCTCCGGTATAGAAAGGACTATGAGGAGGGGGCAGGACCGGGCGGTGTGTCGTTCTGTTGCGCATGAGGACTGGGCAGTGTTTCGTTCTGTTGCGCATGAGGACTGGGCGGTGTTTCGTTCTGTTGCGCACGAGGACTGGGCGGTGTTTTGTTCTGTT